GCCCCTGCGGCCACCTGGCGCTGCGAGGGGGAAGGATGGAAGCGCAAACGGCGCTTCCCCTCTTGTCGCGGCTTTGGGATTGGTTTCCCTCTCTACAGCCACGTCCTTCTGGGTCTGGAAGACTTGACAGACTCCTGCTCGGGGAACAGATCTCTTGTGAAGTTCAGTTCAAATAACTAACTAGCTTATGAGGGCCGGAAGGCACAACGCTACCTCCAGCACTGCGGCGCTGGCTTCTCGGGCAGCCGGTTTTCCATACCGCTGGACCCATCGAGCACGGAAACGTATAGAAAATATTTACAGACACGGTGCTGGAATCTGGCTCGGTGTCTGTAAATATTTTCTATCAAACTACTTTACTTTTGGCTATACAGAAGGGGCAACGCCTGCTCTTGAACTCAAGCGTTCTTCATCCTTTTCTGCAGAAGGTATAATCCTTCAAATAAAGCAAGGACCTTGCAAATACCGGCAGCAGAAACTATTAGTTCTCCAACACATCTGCTCATCAAACCTACTCGCTCTTGGTTTATAGAAAAGGGACAAACAAATGAAAAATGTTAAAATACTTAAATACTCTTACATTTATGAGAAATAATATAGCTACGGTAATGTTATTCAACTGCATTGAATTTTCTATTAGCTTTTAAATATTCACCTCAATATACATTTGTTCTTTAGGATGCACAAGAAGAGATAAATAATTGAGTTATCATTACTAGATTAATCAACTCTTTTTCCTGAGCTGCAAACATTCCAGATTATAACCTTGAAGTTGTTACCCAATAACTACAAATGTAAACTAAACAGATGAAAGCGAGCAAGCGAGAGCCCCCACAGGAACATACAGAGGTACAATTTACTGAGGACAGAGTAGCACCCCCATCATTTCAGAGCTGCAGGTCAAGACTGAACGGCTCTTAGATGTAAAACGCAGCTTGGCCACGAGGTGCAGAAGTTGGATAAATTTTGCCTTGTGTTATGAACAATATGAGATTGCAGCTTAAAAGAATAAATGCTATTGTGGGACATTTGTGGTTTTAAAGGTTTAAATAGCTGGTGGTGACTCCTGCCATAGACGGTGGGATACCTAGTTCCATTATGGCTTCAAGGTCTTTCCTCTTAGCACTGTAAAAGTTCAAGGGTGACGTTCATATTGCATAGCAGTACCTATTTTGTAAGGATGAACCTCTCTCATTTGGGAGATGAGCTGCAATAGCCCAAACAACTTGCATATAGTCCCCATTACTGCCTGTGAAGGTGGGAGCAGGTAGAAGGAATAAAACAGCTTCAGTTCTTAAAGCCTTTTAGAAAAGCAGCTTTCTGCAAACTGCAGACTTCGGCAGCAACAGGACAACAGGTGAAGTCAGACAGGTTGCAAAGAGCATTCCATTTTTGGCTAGGAGTGTCAACTACTAGCTAGTTATAAACACGTGGGTACGTGCTTTCATGCCTTCTCCTTCCAGGCCATGCAAACTCCTGATAAAAAGGAAAGACAAAGATAAGAGCACAAGAACCAGCTACACAGAGCTCTTCTGCAACGTTGTGGAGAATTTTTATTTCATCAGAACAGCTGTTGGGCGTCTGCCTCTGCATCATGTTGGCGAGAGGATTAATCAGATATGCTGCAGAATGGATCAGCACCATTTTTCTTGTTATTACAAAACAGGAGAATAGTAGGGGCAAGTGACAAGCTTCTGTGTCAACTTTCCAAAGGGAACATAGCAATGTGGAAACTAGGTTCACTCCCAGAATGGGCACTAGTGTGATAGTGTAAGTCTCCTTTCCCTCTTTCCCAGGTATGAGAGAGCACTTTAGTACACATACACGTCGATCAGAAGCACAAGCCCTTATCTGTAGTAAGGATTACTTTCTATGGCAGCCAGATAGAAATATATGAAGTGCATTCCATCAGCTTATGGGACAAATTACCCCAGTGCAGGAGAGAGCAAGGCACTATCCCCACCACCCTCAGAGTTTGTGGACTCTCATTTACCTCTACTCTCCTTTCTTTCAGATAGCTGCCACTGGCTTCTGGCACTGCATCAGGAGTGTTGGCAGTTTATTGTCAAGACCACAAGGAGTTAAAGTGTTTGCTTTAATGCTACAGCCTTGGCAGGGACAGATACAACTACCCTGCCTTGCCTTGGAGGAATTTTGTGACTCAGGTTTGAGCTTCTCATGTGGAAGAGCCAAGGTTGATAGTCTCCACTACAAGAATGCTCTGGGCCTGTTCTCTCCTGCCCACTACTTGTAAATTTTATGTCCATCAAGCTCAAGCAGGATTGTTAATAACTTCAGCTTCCCTATTTGTTCTCAGTGAAGTAATGGAGTTAAGTGACCTGCTGGAATGGGGGAACACCCCACCTCCAAGTGTACCACACTAGGAACGTATGATGCTGCTGGAGGGCTCTGAAACTGTTTCCAGATACTCAGAACCCACAAAGAAGTTCTTCAGGTAGCCACTGCACTGTGCATGTTCTGCACCTACACAGTTGCAGAGCACGCACCCTCCCAGAGCACAATACATCCAGTCTCTAAGAGCAGAGCATAAAAATCAGTGACAAATGATCAAGGCTCATCTTCCACCTACTCCAGAACAAGCAATCAGTTTCTGAAGTCATTATAAATTCATTTGTCAGAGGAGTGACACAAACAGTTCATGCATGGAGAGACATATTTCAAGCAAGCACTCAAAAGACCAGCAAAAGGTAAGTTTCCCTGTAGGGCTGATATTTCAGGAGTGCTTGGTACCATGCCACCTGCTGATATTACAGGGAGCCACAGACATCCGCATGCTCTCCTGGAAAAGAAAAGACCCTTTAAAGAACAAGTCATTACATATTTAAAATAGCAGGGAAGCACACACTGTGGGGTAAGGGTATTCCAAGAAGGGGACTACAGTGAAAGAAACAAAGATGGATGGAAATGAAGTGCTCTGGTCCCCATCCAAAGGACAAGGACAGTGACTGGCCACAAAAACCCCTTTTCTAACAAGAGTGTACAATCGCAGCTGTGGTGCGGACAAGGATATACAGCTTGAATTTTCCCTGCATACAAAGAAAAGGTGATACCATATTTTAAGCCCACGAGCACTTTTCAGCCTTTGTAGAAGATGCTATTTTAAATAAAGGTGTTCCTTTTAAATAGTACCATGGCTTGCAAATAGACCACACATGCATAAAACGGAATCTACAGAAAGGTCTCAAAGAAACATTGTGGAGTGGCAGGACAGCACCTATTCAATGAGGACATCTTCTAGAGCTATGACTAGCCTAGGACCTAGGACTTGTAGTCAAAATCTTGATATATTTTCCATGATAACTTGAGGGGTAACCAAAGTGCAATGCCGCCCAGAAAGAATCTCCTGCTCTCATCGGAAAGTACCATCCTGCTTACCTTGGATGATGGAATTCAGGAAAAGCTTAAACTTAAGCAGAAGACAATGCTTTGGAACTGTTTCCCTGGCCCTCCAGAGCTTTGCACAAGCACTGACAACTTTTCCAGGCAACTGGACAGCTGTCTCCATCCGAAAGCATCAGCAAGCTAAAATAAGGCCTTGCTCAAGGATAAAAGTAGGGCAAGAGAGGGCAAGTTCTAAGGTATACGCTCTTAGTTACAGTTCTAGAAACAGCCATGTTTAAAGTGACATTCATAAAACTTCATCTTGTTTTGTTTTTTAATGGCTAAATGATCTGTCTCCTTCCATACATACTGGGGGCAGAACGTGAAAGGAGACAGCAACAAGCACTTTGGGAACTTGCTCTTACACTCAGGCTAGGAACACGGTTTCCAGAAATAACATAGTTGAAAAATGTGAAATGAGACCCTGAGATGCAGGTGAACATGACAAAACAGCACAAAACCCATAACCCAGCTGAAAGTGAAAACTGAGGAATGAAGACTGAAGTAATTACTGACCAGAGCTCAGCAAGAGCTGGGGTGCTCTTGCTATTAATATAACTGCCTTGTTTAAATACACAGAACAGCACAGAACGTGATTCTGCAGCAACTTGGATTGTAGAATCCCCTCCTAAAAACCAAGCAGGAGTTAAGCACAGAGTGGTGGCAGCAGCAAACTGTTCAAGGATGATGAACTTCAAGAGAAATTAAGTACACAGCAAAAAGCAGCCTCCAATAAGAGGCAGGACAACATGTCCTGGTAAGAATTCTACTGTAGGAACCCGTTTTAACAATCTCTCCTCATTCCCCAATCTGAGTAACAGTCAAGATTGTTTACAGTGTATCTCCTAAAAGGGAATGAGTTATTGCACGGTCTAAACAACACACAACAAGATGCTTGCTGGAGACACTGTTTGCTCAGTACACCTTCCTGAAGCCAGGCAGAGAACTCAAGGAAGAGGTGCAGTAAGAAAACATGCCAGTTCTCTCTTTAAGTTGCATGTGCGCATTTTTTTTTTTTTTTAAACAAGTGCTCTGAGTCCTTGTTTGCTGGGCAGAGATAATACAATCGCTCTGCTCTGTAGTTTCAGCCTCCAAGTTGGCTGTATGGCACACGTGTCCATGAAGGTGCTGGGCCTGGTTTTACACTCATAGACACTGCTCAGAATCAGCTGTTCAGTGTTTAAACAACCTGCAGGAATTACTGAAGTCTCTGAGCTTCTCCCTCGCCACAAAGCAAAGGAAAACAGACATGCTGCAATTCAGGGGAAGAAAGGGGAAAAAAGCACCTAAAAGGTGCACAAGAGTTGAAATTTCACTTTCTTTCTGCCTTCCTCCCCTCTCCAGGGTAGCAAAGAGGAGAGAGGACGAGAAGCAGCAGGACTCAATGGAAGGCAGAAGGTTCCTGATGGGCTCACCGATGGCTCAGTGCTGCTGAATGGGTGATGACTGGTTACTTCACTGCTGCTTGGTTTTAAGGGATAGTCTCTGTACCGTCTTGTAAAGGAGACCAAAGTGCTGGAAACAGAAGGAAAATAAAATAACCATGAGTCTTTATAAGCTCTAGTAAAATGGCTGTGTTCTACGCAGGGAGGAAACTCACTAGAAGGCTTAAAGCAATTCTAATGTGCAAACACAATACTCTGCTTGGTTCACTCTCTAACACTCCCATCCTGAGAGCAGAGTGGGACTTGGTGAATTAGGAGGAATTACTACAATGAAGACAGTTAGTCAAGGTTGTACAGAAAGTGCTGGCTTACAGAAAAGTTTGTGCAGGCTGGTATCACCCCCATCATGAAGATGCAAACACTTGTTACAGATTTGATTTTTTTGATGCAATTCTTTTCCTTCGGAAGGG